GGCAATCCACTCACCTCAGCCTCCCAAAGTGCTGTGATTACAGGCTGAGCCACCGAGCCCGGCTCATAGAAATTATTAATGAGGTCTTTTACATTCCTTTTTCACATTAGGTCTTCAAAATCCATAGTGTTTCCACTCAATTTGGATACTAACTTTTCATTAGGAATATTTGATTTGTATTTAGATTTCATAAGATAGACCATTGAAAAAGTAGATTCATCCAAGTTTTTCCAAACATACTTAAACATATCTAAAAGTTTTCCAAAAACTCATGTATCACGTTTTAAATTTAAATGACAATGAAACTCAGTTCCTTAGTCACACTCACCTCGTTTCAGATGCTCAAAGTTCTCATGCATCTAGCGCTACTGTCCTGGTCATCAGAACTCTGAATGATCTGCCTTTACATGCTTTATGGTCCAACTGTACATAATCCTCCCGTTAGTAACTAAAGGATTGGCAAATAATTTCTCCCAGGCACATACTAAACATTCAAAATATTCTGTGGCACTGTTTAACTTGGGAGCAAGTAGTGGCAAAACTCTTATAGGAAAACATGACCACACCTTATCCGTGCCTTTGAGCACGAAGCGAAGTGCTTTAGGTCAGAAATGGCTTTGAATGATTTGCTTTCCTTGTAATCTCTCCTCCAGGCCTTGGTATGTTTTGATACAGTTCGTTTGAATTGGCTCAATAAATCATTTTGCTGCAGAATTCTCAACGGAGAACATTCAAATCCATATACATGAGACTCCTGCTATGTTCAGTCATACATTTGCCAAAGACTTGAGGGATCATTTATTCCCTCTGAAAGCCAGATGCAGCCTGCAGGGTGGTTTTCAGCTAACCTTGTGACATGCGGATGAGGCAGTGGAATTTAGAATTTGGAACCCAGGTGGGTACTGGTCTTTACAGTTAACACAACAGAGTAGGGCGCCATATGTGTATCCTCTCCTTTTAAGACAGTACGTTGAGCTAAGGTCGGTGAGATGCCACACAGCATGTGTAAAAAAGCTACATGTCTAAGGTGAGTGATGATAGTTTGACTTACTGAAAACGGAGAAGGTCAACTTCCCTAGGGTCCTGCCTGTCCCTGATAGCTGGCAAGGTGAGACATTTTGCTCCAGTGGGCTCTGGCCACCCATCTTCATGTTTAAAGTATGTATGTTAGGGGGGAGGGGCCGGGGAAGGTGTGTTTGGCGTTGGTCATTGTCTAGAACTAGAAAATCAAAATGTTCAGATGAAGTGAGGTATGTCAGTGAAAACCTGTTGCCCTGGCCTAGTATTGATGTTCTGTTGTGGTGTTTGTTAATAAATCCCAGGCTGCATTTTTACAGGGGGAAGACCCCCAAAAATCAGAAGTATCTTTTGGAGGGTGGGCCCCTTGTAGTACAGGCGTGCCCCTCGAGCTAAGTATTCTAGGAACCCATTGGAATCAGGGTACCAGCTAGCGTTGTTGTGAGAGGCTGCATTCGACTTCAGTGAATTTTTTTTTTAGGGGGGGAGATTGTTTCACTGTTCACCCATGATTTACAGGCACACCTGTCCACACTACACTGAGTGATCAGCAGTTTTTGACCAAAACAACATGACTCCTGTGTCTCACTCTCCCTATTCACCCAACCTCGCCCCTATTGACTTTTTTTTGTTGTTTCCTTGGATGAAAAATATCCTCAAAAGGAAACATTTTACTGATGTGGAAGAGGTGAAACAATTAAAGGCACTAAAAGGCGTCAAAATGAACAAGTTCACAAACTTTTTTGAGCCGTGGAAAAAGCGTCTTGATAGGTGTATTGCATCAAATGGAGAGTACTTTGAAGGTGATTGAAGTTTAAACATGTAAGAATAAATACACAATTTTTAATAAATGAATTCTGGTTTTTTTGAAGCCCCCCCCCCATATATTCACACATAGTAAATGTGTGTTTGTCCTGTGATGGGAGAGGCCAGAAATACTACTTGTTTTCTGCTCTCAATGTAAACTGCTTTCTTCACTACATTTTTTTTTTTTTTTTTT